AATACATTTTACAAATGGATCTTTTTGCAGACTTAAATTTGAAAATAAGACTCAAAATAATAAAATAAATAACATTACAGTAATGGAAAATTGATGATTCAAATTAGTATCATTATGTCAGTGCAAAACATTTTAGCAATACAAAAATAGGCTTAATTTTCTTTATGCAAACTATGTATTCTATTTTTTGGGATGAACCGGACATTTCCCAGACAAACTTGACCCTGCCATTGTGATTAGTGCAAATCAGTCAGACTTTGGCGTGTAAACATGACTTGCTCCACGCTGGGCTGTGAACATTGTTCTATTACAAGCTCATGTCAACATCTGTAAGGTAGAATCAGTCCCCCACCCCCTCCTTCAGAGACCCCCATCCGGGGCTGGAGGTACACCTTCATGAGAAGAGACCGGGGGTAACTCAGTCCGTAGGCTTAATTAATCTTCTGTCTGATTTGATGAATGGCTCCCAAATAGTGCTGTAATGGTGTGATATCTCTCAGCTCAGAGGCTCCACTGTTGACAGAGGCTGTGTGAAAGTCAAAACGGGAAGCGCTTCACTCTGGGCTTTGTTTGAAAAGTTCTTCTAGTCTGCAGTCTTAACACACACACACAGCATACAGCGCGTTTGCCCATCTCATGCTGTGTTACATGTGTTTTGACAAAAAATGATTTGTTGTCTGTAAAGAAAAATGCAGTGCCTCAGGCGGTAAACACATTAGTGTGAGTAATCTAATGTTGATCTTTCTAATGAGAGGTGCTTAAATGATTTTAAACATACTACTCTAGTTACACATTTGGGACGCATTGAAGTTGACTTTACAATGTGTGTAAAGCCATCAGTATAGCAAGGTCACCATAATGGATGGTTGTTCTTTGGTTAATTACCTGTAAAACGCACTAATTCCCTCAAAAGTTAATAATATCTTTTCGCTGAAGTGTGTTTGGAGGCCATTTATGGGATTCAGTACAAGAAAAAAAAAACAGACTCAACACTCTGTAAAAAAAAACAAGTACAAATAGGGTTTACAGTCATATATTTGAAATGGAAGTCTATAGGGCAAGTGTTTCATTCTTCTGTTAAAAAGAAATGAGTAAATGAAACTGAATAATCCTTTCAGAATCGTGGCTACTGTATAAATGCATCAACTTCTGGTTATGCAAGTCCAGTTGGGCAGATTTGTCTTTGTACAAAGTTAGTAAACAATTTTATGATACTAATTTAATGTTATAGTTTTAAAGTTCTATTGCCATACTTTCGAAACACTCTGTGTTTAAACATTATCCCGCTGCAATGCTTTGCATAGACTTCTATTGTAAGAGCATTACTGTAAACCAGGGGAAAATACCTTCAATTGTTATATAAATGCAAAATAATCTATATACAGGTGCATCTCAATAAATTAGAATGTCGTGGAAAAGTTCATTTATTTCAGTAATTCAACTCAAATTGTGAAACTCATGTATTAAATAAATTCAATGCACACAGACTGAAGTACACAATTTGAGTTGAATTACTGAAATAAATGAACTTTTCCACGACATTCTAATTTATTGAGATGCACCTGTACTTACATGTTTGAATTTTGCATAAAAAATTATATACTATATAGAATACATATTTATGTATTTTATTTTAAATAAAATTTGTATTTTTACATACATAAAATACTAATATATAAATACTTATTTTATATAAAAAATATACATTTTTAAAAAAACAATAAAATAAACATTTGTGTGTGTGTATAATACATAACAAACAATAAAATAAATATTTGTGTATTAATGCAAATCAAATATATATGTTTTAGCCTTAATATATATTTATATAATGGTTGTGTAAAATGCAAAAATATAAATGTGTATAAATGTATAGATATATATTTGCATTTTATATAAACATTATATATATGTATATAGCATACATGATTTCACATTAATAAGTAAATATATTTTGCAATAATATTCATACATAAATATATTTTGCAATATTTTTTTATAAAAAATGCAAACACAATATTATAATGTATATATATATATATATATATACAATGTTGGTCAATACAGTACTGATGTACTGTGCATCTCTGTATTGTAATTTGTATTTTTTTTAAGGGAAACTTTAGGGAACTTTGGCATTCATTTCTGTACGTATATCACAAATACTGCCACTAAAGTTTAACTGTGGAACATCCCAAGCTAATTTTGATTTGTATTTCAAAACAAACACATCTTCTTGTTAAATTTATTGTAGTAAATTTAACAGTTCAAATAACCATAAACACTCCTTTAATTTGACATTTGTTGGGATGTCTCTGAGGAACAGGCACGCAGAAAGATATTCAAACAATAATAATCATGTGACTTCAATTCTAAAACTCACACATGCATTATTAATCCCCCCATAAAATTATTTTTCTGCCGAATTATTGACAATCTGTTGTGCTGAATGAGGGATGGGAATATCCCTGACACTGACAGTTGTTGGTTTGGGATAATAAAGTAAAACCCACCTCTTTAATCTTTAATAGATCCTCACTAATCCCTAGTTTAACTGGCAGACACTAAGGGAGCGTTATATAGTGCAATAGAGAGGCAACTCGCGCCTTTGATCCGTCCAATGTGATGCTAATTTCAGTCAAATTTCAGCATATGGAAATTTATACTACTTTTGTATGCGTAAATTGGAGGGTGTGTGTATGCGCTTGGGTTTTTCTCGCTGGCATTATCTGATTCGCCATGCCAAATATCACATCTCGCTAACCTGTTAGCCTGGGCCACAAAAGCCGTAGCTGTTTTAAAGGTTAAGGCCATCAGTACGGCTTAAACGGTGTGCTTTCTCTGCCCACGTCTGATGATTGAGGATCAAACTATCATGTTAGAAATCGTAAAGATTGCGTGCTTATGCCACAGACGCTAAGTTAGCATGAATAGCGCGTACAAGCTAACGAGCGGATGGCAGATGGGCCAGACGTGTTGAGACGGGTGATTCAGATTCAGAGGCCTCGGCTGGCCCGTGGACTTGATTAAACTAATCTCATCTCTATCAAAGCGTCGCGGGGCGAGCGGACCTGCCATTATTCATAGGCCTGGGGTAATTACAGGCAGGCGGTAGTTTGAGCCGGTGGGGGGATCGAGTGACGGGATGCTGGTCCTCTAAGCACTCCTACCTTAAGGCTAGCAGGGCCCTTGCTTACACTGTGCAGCGTTTTTAGGGTGGGCCTCTTCCATTCACTGGCCCAATGGGTAGGACCATAGAGGACCTTATTTTTCCTCAAATTTGGCATTGATTTGAAATTTTGTTATGAAAACTGAAAAACTATATAGCTGTCATGTACTACCGTTGAAAAGTTTGGTTTGGTAAGATTTTTTAATGTCTGAGAGTGAGTTTTTTTTTTTTACACTTAATTTCTGTGTAGACATACCTTATACCCAGTACTACACAATAGCGGGGCATGTTGTCACACTGTAAGAGGTAAGTTGTCACAATGGGATCTTGCCATTTAAACAACCTATTAAAGGCTTTTCAGCTAAATTTGGTGAAACAGTTTTGGCACACAGAACTTGGAATAGCAATAAATTAAAATGGTTATTTTGGCAAACAGAATGAATAATGATTAACAAATTACAGAACAACATAAAACACATGTGACAACTTGCCCCAAAGAAAATCTTCCTTAATTACAACATATTGTTGGCATTTGTCTGAATATATACCAGTGTTGTTTTTTTAGCAAGCACTTCAACAGCTATAGCAAAAAAAAAATGATGATGATGATGATGATGAAACAAATATTTAAGAAAAAACTACACGATTAAATAATTTGGTAGGCAAAGAGTATTCTGATTTCTGACTGTTTTGAAGTAGATGTTTGTACCAACATATAAAAACACAGGAGAAAACACACATGCATGTGGAGTCTAAACCTTTTAGTTATAAATTGAGCCATTGTGACATTGTGTGTGTGGGGGGGATTAATATAGATATATAATCTATATTTTTTAGATTATGTTTATTTTATGAGTGTTGTTACTATAACATGGGCCTTGATAATGACATTTAGGTTGTTTTAAAGTGTATATTTTTATTAAAGAACAAGAGACGGCTGGTGGATAATGACATTATGGGAGGAAGATGCCGTCGGCACTAAACAGGGGCAGTTTAAACACTCAATTGTCCATCTGTCATGTAACTATAGAAGACTCTCTCTCTCTCACACACACACACAGACAAATTCACTCATGCTTTGTGATGGATTAATCAAGATGAAGAGCCACTTGCCCTCTCTGCTTCATCTGACAGTGCTGTCTGTCATGTCAAAGCCATTTATCTTATCTTAAAAAACACACACACACACAATGTGAAAACATTAGGAAATCCACAGTTCAATTTTATTAGATAATACATTAAACAAATATAGTAAAAGTGGCTGGGCAGAGAAGATTTACGTTATGTGGGAGGATCGGAATTATTTACTGTGTTGTAACCTCTGAGGACCATGAGAGATAATTTATCTGATAAAATAGCATGCATATTCATATTCAACAGTGTTTTTGAGGACAGAATAAATTGTGTTGTGTGTGTACTATTATTAAATTGAAAATAAAATAGGAAAAAATATAATTGATACATTCTCTCTTTCTCTCTCTCTCTCTATATATATATAGTTATAAATATAATTTAAATATAATATTAAATAATTAATATAATACTCCATAATAATGAAATAATTTAAATATAATGTTAATAAAAGAAAATTATTTAATTTATAAAACTTAATATTATCCTAATTAATTCATTAAATAAACAAACTTGATCCTCATTAAAGATGCTTTAATTATACTACTCTTAATAAATATTAATTTTAAAAGTTCTATACACTGTATAAGATCGTACACATCTTCAGGCAATTCTATTTGTTTTTTAGCTTGCATGACATAGACTTTTTATGCAAACTGTAGCAAACAAACTTTTTTTGAGACCGTGTTTGGCATAAACATAGCCTAAAGTATTAACCAATTTAGTATAAATCTCAGATTTCATTTAACATTATCAAGACAAAATATCAGCCTCTGTATGAACTATAAGATGCTTTCATATGGATTCTAGCAGTTGTCGGGCCAGAGGTTGAGCTCTCCCCCCATGTCAGTGTGTTATGTGTGGGTCTGAGCTCAAGAGACCCTTGGGACCCTGCTGGAGGAAGCGGGAGATGATAGGAGAGATGAGAGTAAGTAATTAGATCCTGGGGTGAGAGCAGGTCTGTTAGACACGGCCAGTGTTGTGTGGATCCACTCCAGGCTGTGTTTGCGACTCTTTGAGCTTCACTGGCCCACAGTCCTGAGGATGTTTTCCAGTATGACAGAACCGGGGCGATCCCTCGAGACCGGCATCCAGTCATTAACAACTGGCCACGACGCAAAGATCTGAGAGAACAAGTCAACACCATCAGTCCTAGGAGCAACTGTGGAAAAGCAGAGAGTGGTTTTTACTGTCTGTTTTTGGAGTGCAGATAACAAGTTGTGGTCAAAGGTCCGATTCCTTTGTTTGAGTCGAGGGGAAATGAAAGTTTTGTTTTGGAAAATAGCTTTTTCATTCATGTCTCTTATCATCTCAATGAAGCCCCTGAGCTACAAAACAAGTTCGTAAAGCAGTTGAAAGCTGTCATGGGTTGTATGCTTCACTGACTTGGATTTTTATTTGTCTCCCAAGGGATGTTTGTACAGAAATGAAAATCAATGTGAATGTCAAGGGGAAAAGAAATATGTACCTGAGTTCTGACTGTCTACAAATTTAGTTTTAGTAGCTTTACACACAAGTTTTGATAACTTTATGTGTTTTAGTAGTTTTTGGTTTTATTTCAGGATTTGGAAATTTAGTTAGGACCCAAAACAGTGCCTTCATTGTTTTTTTGTACAAAAATTAGCAACAAAATAACTACAATAAGTTTTAAAAAATAATATTCATTTAATAATTTATTAATATATTTATTAATTCATGAATGGTAATTTATTAATATGAATTATATTCAAACATTTAATCATTGACTTATTAACATTTATTAATTTATTAATGATTATTTATTAATATTTCTTAATATTCCACAAGTGTTTGGTTTCTGAATATTTCTTAAATTTAGATGGTTGCAGCCACCAAATAATACACCACACATGTATAATTATGAATAATTGCAATCTGCACAGTCGATTCTATTGCATTTTTTTTGCTACTGTTACTTTTTATATAATTTTTTATCCTAATTATACACACTACATGGTTATTTGCATTTTGCATTGTTTTTTTTTTATGTGGACCACAAGACATTTTTGAATGATGACCCCACTAGTTTGGTGTATTCAAAAAAGTATATTTTACCATTATATTAGAATTACTTTTATTATTATATTTTCAGTTTTAAGTTTGAGTCCATTTTTTCTTTTGTCATTTTTAATAGATTTTAGTTTTAGTAATACATATTTCTATTAAGATTTATTTTTATGTTTTATGCTTTCTTCATTTTTATTAAATATTTTGTCATATTTTAACTTTTTTTATTTACATTTTTTTTCAGTTTAGCTTTACTTTTATTTTAGTTTTAGTAATTTTAGTACTTCAACTTAAATCTATTTTATTTCAGTTATTTGCCTAATCAACATTTTATTTTTGTATGTTTAAGTGTATTTTTTTAGATGAAATATAAATCTAATATTTATTTTATTTCAGTTTTGTTTCAATTAGTTTTGATTAATGATAAGAAAACTGGAACTGTATATGTATAATTAAGATCATAACAGAGAAAGAAATGTGTAACAGAAAATGATGCGAGCCAGACTCTAACTCAATTTGCTCACAATAGCACCACAGCTACTCAACCATCATATTTATAAACATAAAATCATATAAATTAACAAAAGAGAAGTGAAACTGAAAAATATCACTAAATATGGTTTGGTCTCTTTTATTTTCAGCCGTTTGTGTGAAAGCAAGGAAGCGTGTGTATAAAGCCGAGGGGTTTCACCACGCTCTCCAGCATCTCCATTTATTTTTTACTGGTCTCAGTGGTCTCATTCCCACCAACTGCTGTGGACTCAGCATCTATTCTAATTCGGTCAAACAAGCACAACATTTCTGGCCGTTTCTCTCCTCCATTAAGATGACTTAAGTGATTTTCTCTTTGCGTGCGGCTCAAGTAAATCAAGTACGTCTCTCAAGCCCAGTTATTAAAAACAGTGTCCTTTCGCTCTCTATCAAAGCACAGTAATCCTGATTTACACAGTGGAAAAACCTCTACCGTCGTATCCCGCTACCTTCCCAAGGAGATCGAGTAATTAAATGGGTACTTTTTACAAGTCGTACTCAATAAATCTGAATAAATTAACAAGGCATTACTAAGACTGCTACATTAAATTTGCATAGTGTATTTAATGAATATGCAACTGCAAGTGAAAAGGTCTGCTACTGTGAACCCTCCAAATTAGCATAACTACTTCCAGCATGTTTCTTAAATAATGCTCTCATTTGCACATCACTGAGTTGGCTAATTCTAACTTCAGTCAGGGTAGCCTTGCAATTAAGACTCTTGCTTTCATTTTTAATGAAGTTTGTGTTACATCAATCCTGACAGTAATGAGGGAGACATGGAAACAAAAGGCTTCTAATAATTAAATTCACAAACCAGTTCTAGGGATAATAATTCCTGAGGAGGAATTACATGACTAATTATTAATTAAATATTCATACTGTTGCATGGGCCGCCTCACTTAACTGCTTGTCTTGTCGCCGCTAATGCCGAGATGTAAATCGTCTTTGCTATCAACGCATCTACTCGAAGGTCCCGGATCCTTTTTAGTGCATGATTAATCATGTTGGCACCTCAGATGAAATGCTTTTTATTGGCCTCGTTTATTGAGCCGTTTTACCTGAGTTGGTTTAGCTCCTATTGAGATTCATTACCGAGCTTTAAGTACATAAACAAACCACCGCTGGAATGGCCGATGTCTAGTTACAATGATGCACACATTAGCATTATTAGCAATTTAGCATATCCTGTTTGTCAATTTCACAAGCTGGTTTCAAAATCTAAGGCCATTTTTGTTCAAATCACAGCTGGCATCTTACATCAACATGAGCTGCCAACAAACCTTCGTGCTCCCTTTAGCATATAGCATTAGCCTTTCAGCCTCTCGCAACTACTCTGCATTTATCCCACAACATTTCCAAATGGCTTATTTAACAGTGCCTCACTTAACGGCTTGTCTTGTAGCCGCTAATGCCGAGATGTAAATCGTCTTTGCTATCAACGCATCTACTCGAAGGTCCCGGATCCTTTTTAGTGCATGATTAATCATGTTGGCACCTCAGATGAAATGCTTTTTATTGGCCTCGTTTATTGAGCCATTTTACCTGAGTTGGTTTAGCTCCTATTGAGATTCATTACCGAGCTTTAAGTACATAAACAAACCACCGCTGGAATGGCCGATGTCTAGTTACAATGATGCACACATTAGCATTATTAGCAATTTAGCATATCCTGTTTGTCAATTTCACAAGCTGGTTTCAAAATCTAAGGCCATTTTTGTTCAAATCACAGCTGGCATCTTACATCAACATGAGCTGCCAACAAACCTTCGTGCTCCCTTTAGCATATAGCATTAGCCTTTCAGCCTCTCGCAACTACTCTGCATTTATCCCACAACATTTCCAAATGGCTTATTTAACAGTATGTTGTTTTTCTTTTAGCTCCTGTTGAGATTCATTACTGAGTTTAAGTACATAAGCAAAATGGCAACACAAAGGATGACAGCTACTTATAATGATAGCATTATTAACATATTCTGTTCTGCAGCAAAATATGGCAGGTTTGATTTGAAAAAAAAAATGGCATCAGATATTGACAATACCCTGATAGCACACATACATCACAGAGACCCCTGCAAACATGTCCTTGCGGGGCCCATGCTGGCTTTTTGCGGGCACAGTGGGCTAGGGCCAGCCCACACCAAACCTAAACAGGCCCGGTGCCGGCTTGCCCAGGGGAGGCCCACAGCTTTGGGCTCACTGCAGACTCTCTGTGAGCAGCCTACACTATGGGACTGCCCACATTAATCCCATGATGGCCCAGTGTGGGCCAGACATGAGCCTGTTAACAAGAATTTTGTGGGCAGTTTTCTTCCTTACCACTAGGGATGCTAAGGTGTTTTAGGTTTCCTTAAGTAAAGCCATGTGGTAGAGAGAGTTAGCAATAGCAAGCAGCAGTAGCCAGCATGGCTCACCTGCTGAACACATTGTGCTGTGTCCTGATTAGGAAATGTGCCATTTCAAGCCCAGTCTAACGGAGTTTTTTTTTTCTATTTAAAAGTGTACATTGCTGATGTTTTTTTGCAGAGATGGTACATGTGTGTATGGCCTATGTTTGGATTAATGCTAAGAGTTTAAGACAGTGTATTTGTGTGCATTTTAGGTGAGGCTACTACATAATGGTCCAGATTGAATACGGATTTAAAGTTCTTTTCGACGTGAGACCGTAGTCTGGACTATTCTTGACTGTTCCTGGTTAGGAAGAGTCTGGTGTTTGAGAGCTGTGGCGTGTTTTCATTACAAGAGGTTGGATTATTAATTTGCTATCAGCCAACTTCAGCTACGGACAGTGTTTTTTGTACTTTTGTGTATTTAGATGTTTGGTTATATGTAGCTATATTAACCTGAACTGACTTTCACACACATCAACTTTCACATAACGAAATCCTACAATCTTACATGGCTTTGTTTGCTTTTTTTTGTGCTTTTGTGTATTTACTTTTTTGGCTATATTTAGCTGTATTAACCTGAATTGAATGTTTTCTATTTTGTATTTAATAAATCCATTGATTTGAAATCCTTTTGACTACTGTACATTTTTAACAATATAGACATTAGTTATGTGGTGACTGCATCCATTTCAGATGTATAATAACTGTTTTCCCCAAAGACTTAAGTTATAGTAGCTGAAAAGTATTTAAAGTGAAACAGATGTATTGTTATAGATCAGGGGTGCATCCTGTTCCTGGAGATCTACCTTCCTACAGAGTTCAGTTCCAACCCTGAATAAACAAAACCTGTCTGTAATTATCAAGCGCTTCTTCAGATCCTAATTAGTTGGTTCAGTTGTGTTTGATCAGGACCAGACAATACGTCTATAGGACGTTTCCTATCATGAGATGTCAAATAGTCAAGTCAAGTCACCTTTATTTATATAGCGCTTTTAACAATACAGATTGTGTCAAAGCAACTGAACAGCATTAATTAGGAAAATAGTGTCAATAATGCAAAATGACAATAGTA